GGCTCTCTGGTGTTGGGATTCTGTCTAGGTGTCAGGTTCTCTGCTGCAGAGATTGTATCTAGGTGTTAGGTTCTTTGCTGCTGGGATTGTGTCAGGTTCTCTGCTGCAGCGATTGTGTCTAGGTGTTAGGTTCTTTGCTGCTGGGATTGTGTCAGGTTCTCTGCTGCAGAGATTGTCTCTAGGTGCTAGGTTCTCTGCTGCTGGGATTTTGTCTAGGTGTTAGGTTCTCTGCTAATAGGATTGTTTCTAGGTGCTCCCATTACAATTGATATCAAAAACAAGATCAATGTTGTCCTTCAAAGTAACTACACTAACAACTTCATACACACCCAGTCATATGGATGTTGACTCCTGTTTTTTCCAGTTAAACTATTCTTGTTTAATATATTTCAACTTCTTGCTGAATTAAGTACTACGCTCTTGCACAAATACTAATTTCTATAATCTTGCTCTACTGCCTTTAAGTCTTCCACAAGTCAAACTATAACTTACTTCTTAATTTCTCGTACAAACTGTCTTAATAAGGAACACTCAGAAGCTGAAGGTTAAAAAAACTTTCATCAAACTGCTTTTAAAGCATTCATGCAGGTATTACAAGACTATTGAAATGTGATTCACAAAAATACAGTTATAAACAAACATCTAGTGGGAACAAATATAAACTTGACATACTCGTCAAGAAATCAAACCTCCATAAATACACACTAATCCACTTCTAAAATAAACATGCCTAAGACACCATACACTAAAAGCATAATATCTCTATCTTAACAGAAGGCAACATTCATACAAGTTGTACTCAACAACTGATTCAATGAATGTCTAAAACAAAACATTCTGTATTTCTGATGGCATTACATAATCATCTCCATAATGCCAAAATAATCCACTCAATGCTTGTACACTTAAAAATTACAAGAATAACATTGGGAAGTGAAAGCAATAATTTATTTTATTTTAAAAATCCTGTAACTACCACTTTGTCGCAGATAAAAACAAATGCAGCATGTGTGAATGTGAGTTACAAAACACAGTAACCACAGAACAACTGTAGTTTTTTTTATAGAACATCAACAAGAAATTAATAAGTCACATTACAAGAATGAATAGAATAACAGGTTTGAAACACTGCCACATATACATATGTATATCCAATGTTATCTACCAAATCCCCTTATTGTGACATCACACTACACAGTTATATAGTCTATTCTGTTCTTGATATACTACAATGTGCTCAGTGTACACAAACAGTAGAGCACAGTTCTGCCACATGCAGAAAGGTTCCTGAAATAAGAGTACATAAGATTACTGCTCTTATGTAAAACTGGTGAAAATATACACACACACCTACACAGTTTTTACCTTTGAAACTTTAAAATTGGCCAGGACTAAAAGTGTAGTGTTCAAATGGTCCTCCATTAGTTCATAAAGAGGAGGAAATATTATAAGATATACGAAAAACCAAGGAAGGAATTATATAAGATAAACCAGGAACTGACCAAGAACATTTGTGGATGGTGAACATGGGGTCAAATATAAAGTTCTTCCACAAAACTACTTGTTTACCAAGCTAACAAAACATTTAACATAAAATCACCCACAAAAGAGAACCGTCTACAAAGCAGTGACACAAGGTTTTGCTGATCCCCATGAATGACTAAGAGAACATCTGATATACTGAGACGTGAATCTGGAACTACAGTTCCAAATACACTGTGCATGAGCATAACAAAACCAAAGATACTAAGCAAGTTGGGGGAAGTGGTTACTACTGACTGTAACATTGACCCTGAGTGTGATATGTCCAACTCAGATAGCTAAGTTGGAATTATAGGGGAAAGTTGGGCTTCCAAGAAAATGTGCAGTTTCCAGATAAAGAATTTATCTTCAAAGGTTGGCAACCTTTTATATATATATATATATATTCATACTATACCTGAGACAAAGAGTTCATTGAACACTTAGTAAATCTAATAAATCAAATTTATAAGTATATAAGCAAGAAAAGATTTCAATAATCACAAAATAGCCATGGAAATAGCCGATTTTTGTTGAAATGCATTAGATTTTTTTCTAAGTTTATGAAATAGTGTCAAAACATCATATGTCACATGAATACTTTAAAACCACAAACACATGAACACAGTCTGCTCCAATATTTAAACACAATGTATCCCTACAGATTATAACTACATCTACAGATACATCAATACATAAGATTAACCTATGATCACATATGGTTAAGATATCTGGATTAAAAGTATTAACAGTAGTACTAATTGAATAAAACCGATTTACACAGCTCTAGATATGGACTAGGAACGTCATAAATACAATGCAACACACTATAACACTCTTTGAATTAGAAAATAACTTCAATCTTACCACTTGTGTAAACACTGACCTTAATCCCATTTGATGCAAAAAAAAAATCTTCCATTTACTTTTCATACGGTACAGATTTCACACAGAACATCGCAATGCACCAAATACTGAAGATACTGTCTATGATAAGACATTCATAACTTCTGCCTTAAGACTATTCAACTTTTCTCACTTATTTCTTGCCATTCCAAAACCTCCACGAGTCTCACTGACTTTCAGTTAATGCAAAATAACATCATCCTCTTTAGTGGCAGAATTAATTCTTTCACTTTAAGAACAAAAGACTAAGTGATTACTGTACAACACAACGGTTTCTCATCAATACCTACTAGTTCTCTACACATGGACACAGCATACTATAGTTTCTCATCAATACCTACTAGTTCTCTACACATGGACACAGCATACTATAGTTTCTCATCAATACCTACTAGTTCTCTACACATGGACACAGCATACTATAGTTTCTCATCAATACCTACTAGTTCTCTACACATGGACACAGCATACTATAGTTTCTCATCAATACCTACTAGTTCTCTACACATGGACACAGCATACTATAGTTTC